TTCCGTCGCGACTGAAAGGGGCGTGGCGGGTCGCGTTTTTCTTTTTATTGTTCGTACGGAAACTGCGCGCTGCCCGCGGTTGGGATGTGTTTTTGGCTGTTCGACCTTCGTTGGCGCCACCGGGTGCCCGACCCAGAGGTGATAAGGGGGAGCTGGAGCGGCCCACACCGCCGCGCGAGACGCCTTCTTTATTTTGCCTCGTTTTTTTTTCTGCACCCCAACGGTAGCGAAGGAAGGAGCGGCACAGGAGATTTAGCGCTCAGCGACGGCATGAGGAAGCGGCGCCTCTATTTTTTTTATCGTTTTCTTATTCCTTTCCGCGCGCGGCACGCGATTAGGGGTGTGCGGTTTCTGAGGCTTCGCTCCCTCCCCCACCCCCGCCCCCCGCGTGCCCGGCCGCCCGGCGGGGTGGCGGGACGACTCTTTGCAGGGGCGGGCCGGACGCTCCGTTGCCGTTGTCGATGGCGCTGTGCGCGGCGCGTGGTGCCGAGAAGGTGCCGCTCTGATGGTCGTACTTGCGTTTCTCCTTCGCAGCGCCCGGCGCCGTGGATTATTAGGAAGGCTTGCAAAGGCATTTTGTTTTTTTATTCAAGTTGTGTATTTTTTTCCCCCGTGGAGACGACGAATTTCGTTTTAAAAAAGTGCAGAATAATAAAACGCTATGCTTCACTTATCGTGGCAAGCGCTGCCGCGCGCAGTTCCACTTCAATTGGCGCAAAGGCCCACTGCTGCAGCCAACACGCCCTGAAGGCTCCTTTGGTGAACTGAGTTCTCTCGCGGCCACCCTGGTCGCTTCGAGTGCCCGTGCGTTCCAAAACACGCGTGGGCGCCCAGCTGGACCCGCGTCCGCATGCTCGAAAACTTCACCCAGACCGCTTCCCGCCGCGCATTCCCATTGCACCGCAACCATGCAATACTCCCCACTTTCGGTGCGACGAAGGCCCCGCAACGCCTCGAATGCACCTGCTGTTTGCGGGTCGAACATGCCGGGTGGGCTGTTCTTCGCGCGACGGCGGCGAGCCGCACCGAGGCGGCCCTTCTGCTCCCGGGCCGTGTGCGGTCAGCATTCGCCGCATCAGCAAGCCGGGCGCCCAACCGGATCCCGGCCCCGGCGAAAAGGACGGGGCCCAGTGGAGGGAGGGCGAAATGGCCCCGAGAGAGCGCGCGGGAGGCGGCGTGCGACGTGGCGGCAGTTCCCCCGGCATATACGGGGCGTTCGCCCAGCGGCCTTGCTGGCCCCGCTGGGGGGAAAAGAAATCCGCCCCATGCAGGCGATGGAAGATAGAAAAGGATGCGGGGGAACACCTCTTCCCGCGCGCGCTGGCAGAGTTCGCGACGCGGGCAGGGCAAGGCACGCAAAGTCGCGCCGTGGTTCGGAAACAGCTTGTATGCGAGAAGACGCCGGAATGCCGCATCCCCGCGCGGCCGGAACAATCCAAATTTGGTCCGAAGGAATTGGGGGGCTCCATTTTGGCAAGCAACTGGCCCGGCTCGCTTGCGGCCTGTTCGGCCTCCCAAACCGTGAACCGTTTCCCCGTCCATGGCGACAATACGTCTGTGGGCGGCGTCGCTCGCCCGTTGGGTGGAGGGGGCGCCCTTTATTTTACTCTTTTGCTTGTTTTTTCTGATTTTGATTCTTTTGTTTTGACTTTATGCACCCAATTGGCGGCAGCATAACACGCCACAGAAGCCGCAGATCGTGATTTTTTCTTCTTTCTTCGCGTCTTGCGGGAAACGGGTCCGGCAAGAGGGCTGGGACCCAACTTCTGCTTCTTCCCACGAAGGGGAATTTGCCACTGTTGCAATCTCCCTCTAAAGGGCGATGGCTCTCCGCGCATGCGGCGGAACAATAATTACGATTGAAAGATGATATATATGTAGGTGTTATGTGTTTGTTGTTGTTTGCTTATTATTATTGTTATTACTGTTATTATTATTACTGTTTATTATTGTTATTATTTTTTATAATATGTATCTTTGTTTATTTTAAGAATTTCATTAGGTGTTGATGCTGGTGATATTATTGTTTGTTTTTATTTGTTTTTTTTGTTTTATTTTGTATCGTTTTATTGTTTGCTATAGTTGCTAGTAGAGTTATGTGCTTTTATCAGGTAAATTCGCCTTGCTTTTTAGTTGTTTTTTCATAGTTTTTTTCTTGACAGCTGATTGTTACCTTTTTCTCTACTTTATTTATTTACCAAATTTATTGTTATTG